GAAGGATGGAAAATTAGTATCTTTAAAGTTACTCCTCTCACAATTTTGAAGAGGTGAAAAGAGTATAAGTTTTTGACACAACTTTTACATAATCACGGTATAAGGTATGTGTGGGAAAAGATTGAAGGAGTTGCTTTTACGTATCAACAAAGAAGATATAGAATAAACTCCGTACAAAAAGCAAAAGATTTTTGTAAAAGATTCCAAGCAGAAAAGGGGAAAACAAATGGAGATGGTGATGAAGAAGATGAACAAGCGGCTGCAAAGATAAGAGAGAAAGAAAAAGATAAAGAGGAACCGAAAGAACAAAGAAGACAGAAGAAAGTTATAATGGAGACTAGAAGTCAAAAACAACTGAAAAAAGCTGAAGAAGAAATAGAAGAAGGTGAAGGAACAGATCCCTTCTCAGAAGATAGTAAACTTCTGGAAGAATCGGGACAACTGGATGATGACGATGATGAGGGGGGAGCATCAGAACTATAAAGAGAGGAAGAATCATAGATATAAAGAGATAATAATATTTTTAATTCATAAAAAATGGTGACACAATTTTATTCATGGACTGTTAAGGGACTTAACTCAAAATATAAATGTAGCAAAATATTTCATTATTTGGAAAAGAAAACACAGGATATTATTTGTCTGCAAGAGACAAAAATTAAACAATCAGATATTAGATTCTTACAAAACCCTAAATTAGGTCAATTATTTGCATCCGCGAATGAGAATTAAAAAAAAAGGAGTGGTAATTTACATTAATAATAAATATGATCCAAAAGAAGTTTTTTTTTTCAGATCTACAAGGACATTATATTGCAGTGGAAGTATTATGGCAAGAAAAGAAAATTTTATTAGTTGGTATCTATGCTCCCCAGGAAAATAAATAACTTTTTTAAAAAAAAAATGATAAAAAAATAGAAGAATTGTATCATGAAAATTATTTGTTAATGGGAGATTGGAATGGAGTTATAGATCCAAAAACAGATAGAACCACTCAAATTAAGACAAAAAAGAATCAAGGAAAATTGTCAAAATCCTTTATCGAATTACAAGAGAAATTGTCCTTAGAAGATGTGTGGACGGGACTTTACAACAAGACTAAAGGGTTTACCTTTTTCTCAGATAGACACAAAACTGAATCAAGAATTGATATGTTTTTGATCTCTAAACACTTGTTTCAACAAATAAAGAAAATGGACATTTGGCCAAAGATTATTTCCGATCACAATCCAATTCAACTTAGTCTTTTGGCACCAAAACATCAGTATTCTTGGCATTTGAATCCTTATTTGCTTCAAAATGAGGAATTTGTAAATAAAGTGAAGGAAGAAATAAAGTATTACTTTTCTGAAAATATCACTGATGAAATGAAAATGAAAACATTATGGGATGCAAGCAAAGCAGTGATGAGAGGAATCCTTATTCAGAGAGGGGCGGAAATTAAGAAAAGAGCACAAGATGAATTGGAAAAATTGACTGAATAAATACAAAAGAAAGAGAAAGAACTCCAAGAACAATCTAGTAGATATGAACTGAGAAACCAACTCAAAATATTACAAATCAAACTGGATGCATTA